GTCTCAGATGCCTCATGTATTCTGAATGCCCTTTCTGTCCCATTGGCATCCTGCCTCCTTTGTTGGCGTACAGCAAGGAAGCAGGTAAATGTAAGCCTGACAGTGTTTATTTTCAATAAGCCTACAAACTTTAATAACTTATGTAGCTGTAATTCAATAGACTATACATTTATCTTTTAGACCATCTCCTAAATGCAGCTAAAGTTATTAAGCTATCACTGCGGAAGAGAGCGCAGTCAAAGAAGAGTTATGGTTTAAAATAAGTTGAAAAATTTGAGTCTTGACCTTAGAAATGGCACAAACAAGTACATGGTGCCATTTGCTATATCTTGTTGGGAGTACATCACATTCTTGCTGCAGGCTGAGGAATGACCCTCACATTAGTTTTACTGTGCTTTTTCTAGAAAGGGGTGCTACAGACCCACATTGTTTATATGACTGCCACCACTTGTCAATGCCTTAAAGGGCACTCCACATACCTAAAATTGCTCTGTGTGTGAAGAGTGTGTCCTTCATTTTACAAAAGTCCAGATTTTAATGGAAATTGGCCTTATTACCCCAGCCCCCACCGAACTGTCATTTACACATGGTCTGCATTAGTGTGGGAGGGCTTGTAAAGACTGTAGACAATATATCTGAAATTTTTGCAAGGTGTTTTTAGATCTACCCCAATGAGAACATTTTTTATAAATTAAATGCATGCATGTTTAATGGGGGAATATCTACTAAATTATATTTAAAAAAATGCAAATATTTCCATTGGAATGGTCCTTAAATTTCTTATGCCTTCTATTGTCTATATATTACTTGCCAACAGATCTGTGAAACCCCAGAATTTCTATTTATCACAATGTTTTCTTATTTTAAGTGGATAATTCTTGAAGCCTCTTGATAAAATCAGATTAAAAAATGTCAAATAAGCACAGAGGGCAGTTGGATAATGGATCGTGTTATGGAACTAGAATGTTTGTTTTTTATAAAAGTTTACAAACATGGTCCAGATATCAATAGACTTTGCACTCAGAACAGCTTTTATTTTGCAAGTGATGCAGTTTGAGAGTAAGTGCTTTTGAGGTTATGAGCTACAGGTAAACCTTTGGCTTTATGCCAATTCTGGCTCTGCTATAAACATATTTGTTATTAGCCTTCATTGTTATAGAAATTCTAATAGAAGAAACACTTTTGTGTGTCATAACGTTTGCAGAACATTTGAAAAATGGTTTTTTTTTTTTAAACACATGCTCTGTAAAAGCTGCTTGGAAAAAAGAAAACATGTGGTTATATAAAGAACAAAATATGTTTCAACTTAATTCACCTTGTTTAGCTTTCCTGTTTCCATGAATGTTGGTTGGTTTATAATCACAGGTGTGGATGGTGGCTCTGGAACATTAAAAAGACAGTGAGAAGGTGTTATTCTATGAAGTGTCTTATGTAATTCACATACAGCAGATCATACTTTCTATTTAAACATACAAGACAGGCCAACCAACATAAAGGTTTAATTAAATCTAGATTGGATGCAACACTAGCCAGGGATTGACATATGGAATAGTGGTTTAGTTTGACATCAGACCAACAGAACATCCAGTTTAACTGCCTTTTAAATCAAATATCAAAAGGAAAGCATACATTTTGTTACATCCTTGTTAATTGCATTCCCTATTCTGTACAAGAAGAAAGCTATATAAAATATATACTGTTCTAAAAACAAACATTATAGCACAAACAAATTACACTTAAATCTTTCAAGGCTAACCAACAACATTGATTATGAGTGACAAATAAGGGAATTCAGTCGAAACATAGGACTTGACAGTATTTGGGTGCTTTGAGCCAATTATGGGCATGGAATTATTTGCCTAACACACATTTGTTTGTTGGAGACTGAATCCAGAAGAATTGAGTTTTGTCCAGAAATGTGTAGGACCATCTCTGGGCTCTCAATCAACTAATTTGAATAAACTATTCCTGACTTTTAATATTGATTTTGCACACATTGTGTGTCCGGTGTCAGCACACATGGTAGGCTATCCCCAGACAACTTAGACAGACTGCTTGTGGATGATTGTGTCACACACACAGTGTCAACGTTCCTGCTGCCCAGCTCTCAGACTATTTAACTGTCTAACCCTTGGATAATTTAAAAAACAAATTGGTTCTGTTTTTATATCTGCAGTTCCAAAATACAAAGGCCAGTTGTTATGGTTCCAGGAGGCCCAGGGCACACTCTTACCTTAAGGGGTTAAAATTTTCTCAAACCGTTTAACTCCAAAGTGAGCCTCTTGCGCTGATCCTAAGGTTCCCCAAGCAGCATCTGGCTTCTGAAATCTAAGTTTCAGGAAGTGCAGAGTGCCGCCAGGCAGGGGCACCACTGATTGGCTGAGAGCTTTCAGCTTACGCTCTCAGCCAATCAGTGACTCCACATTCACAAAACTGGCTTGAAAAAAGTATGTTTCTTTTCAACCCAGTGCATGCCTGGGGGAAAATTGGCGCTGAAAATCACTTTGGGGCTAAACCGTTCAAGAATGTTTTAACCCTAAAGGTAAGAGTGCACATTTCGTTTAGATTAAGATATGTTGCCCTTTAACCCCTTAAGGACGGCAGGCGTGCTATGCCAGCCTTGGGGACCAGGCTCTAAATGCCGGCTGGCAGCATAGTACGTCCCCGCAGTCCAGGGGACTTACCTGCTCGCTGACGATTCCCCGCCAGCAATCGCGATCGGGGGACTTGCTGGCACCCCAGGCAATCCCCATGCGGCTGATTCTGCCCTCCTGGGCCCTGTGATTGTGAGGTCCTTGCGAGGACCTTACGATCACATGGACGGAATAGCCGTGCATACCAGTGCCAGGAATGACTGGTAGGCCCCCTGCTGCCTTCAATAAAGTTCAATAAGATTAGGCAGAAAGAGGCTAAGCAAGTTATAAGAGCTTCCAAATCACACACAGAAGAGAAAATAGCACAGTCAGTAAAAAAGGGGGATAAAAATTTTTTTAGATACATAAATGAGAAAAGAAAAGTAAAACAAGGATTAGTTAGAATAAAAACAAAAGAAGGAAGGTATGTAGAAGAGGATAAAGGTCTAGCTGACTGCCTCAATGAATATTTTTGTTCTGTATTTACAGATGAAAATGAAGGAAAGGGACCTCAGTTGAGAAAAAGGATAAATGAGTCATTTATTACACGTGAGTTTACAGAGGAAGAGGTTCTATTTCAACTGTCAAAAGTAAAGACAAATAAGTCAATGGGACCTGATGGAATACACCCAAAGCTATTAAAAGAGCTTAGTGGTGTACTAGCAAAACCATTAACAGATTTATTTAACCAATCATTGTTAACAGGAGTAGTCCCAGAAGATTGGAAGTTAGCGAATGTTGTGCCCATTTACAAGAAAGGTAATAGGGAGGAGTCGGGCAACTATAGGCCAGTAAGCCTTACTTCAGTAGTGGGGAAAGTGATGGAAACCATGTTAAAGGATAGGATTGATGAACATCTAAAAACACATGGATTTCAAGATCAGAGACAACATGGGTTTACTTCAGGGAGATCATGCCAAACTAATCTTATTGATTTTTTTGATTGGGTAACTAAAATTATAGATCAGGGTGGTGCAGTAGACATTGCTTACCTAGATTTCAGTAAGGCTTTTGACACTGTTGCACATAGAAGGCTTATCAATAAACTGCAATCTTTAAGTTTGGATTCCAATATTGTTGAATGGGTAAAGCAGTGGCTGAGTGACAGGCAACAGAGGGTTGTAGTTAATGGAATATATTCGAAGCTTGGACTTGTCACCAGTGGGGTACCTCAGGGATCTGTACTTGGACCCATTCTCTTTAATATTTTTATTAGTGATATTGCAGAAGGTCTTGATGGTAAGGTATGTCTTTTTGCTGATGATACTAAGATATGTAACAGGGTTGATGTTCCAGGAGGGATAAGCCAAATGACAAATGATTTAGGTAAACTAGAAAATGGTCAGAATTGTGGCAACTGACATTTAATGTGGATAAGTGCAAGATAATGCATCTTGGACGTAAAAACCCAAGGGCAGAGTACAGAATATTTGATAGAGTCCTAACCTCAACATATGAGGAAAGGGATTTAGGGGTGATTATTTCTGATGACTTAAAGGTAGGCAGACAATGTAATAAAGCAGCAGGAAATGCTAGCAGAATGCTTGGTTGTATAGGGAGAGGTATTAGCAGTAGAAAGAGGGAAGTGCTCATGCCATTGTACAGAACACTGGTGAGACCTCACTTGGAGTATTGTACACAGTACTGGAGACCGTATCTTCAGAAGGATATTGATACCTTAGAGAGGGTTCAGAGAAGGGCTACTAAACTGGTTCATGGATTGCGGGATAAAACTTACCAGGAAAGGTTAAAGGATCTTAACATGTATAGCTTGGAGGAAAGACGAGACAGGGGGGATATGATAGAAACATTTAAATATATAAAGGGAATCAACACAGTAAAGGAGGAGACTATATTTAAAAGAAGAAAAACTACCACAACAAGAGGACATAGTCTTAAATTAGAGGGACAAAGGTTTAAAAATAATATCAGGAAGTATTACTTTACTGAGAGGGTAGTGGATGCATGGAATAGCCTTCCAGCTGAAGTGGTAGAGGTTAACACAGTAAAGGAGTTTAAGCATGCGTGGGATAGGCATAAGGCTATCCTAACTATAAGATAAGACTAGGGACTAATGAAAGTATTTAGAAAATTGGGCAGACTAGATGGGCCGAATGGTTCTTATCTGCCGTCACATTCTATGTTTCTATGTAATAAAGGTTAAAAACAGAGTAAAATAAAATATATGCTAAGAGAGATTATATATATATATATATATATATATATATATATATATATATATATATATATATATATATATATATATATATATATATATATATATATATAATATCTCTCTTAGCATATATTTTATTTTATTTATATTTATTTTATTATATATATTCATTCTACGTGTATTTTGATATTAATATATATTATTAAAATACAGACATTGTGTGTGTGTGTGTGTGTGTGTGTATGTATGTATATATATATACACACACACACACACACAATGTCTGTATTTTAATAATATATATTAATATCAAAATACACGTAGAATGAATATATATAATAAAATAAATCTAGAAATATGTTAAAAAATAAAAATTTAAAAATATATATTTATGTGTAATTTCGTTCTAACTGTATTTTGATATTGATACACATATTTTTTTCCTATTTATAAAAAAAAAAAAATATATATATATATATATATATATATATATATATATATATATATATATATATATATATATATATATATATATATATATATATATATATATATATATATATATATACATATACATATACATATACATACACACACATATATGAAAACAGGAGCACTATCCTGGATTTCCAAAATATATTTTACATCAACGTTTCAACCCTTCAGGGTCTTTATCCTGTTTTCATTTATACTATTGCTGGGAAGCACCCGGGTACAAGTTACAGGTATATATTTTATTTTATTTCTTTCAGGTTGAGTGCCAGAGGTTGGACATTTTTATTTATATATATATATATATATATATATATATATATATAAACATACACACACATACACATATATATATATATACACACATATATATACACACACACACACATTATATATATATATATATATATATATATATATATATATATATATATATATATATATATATATATATATACATATATATATACAAACACACACACACACACACACACACACACTTTTATTTCCTATATATTTATAATATATTATAATAAAAGGCATTTTATAATAGATTATACATATATATGATTCCATTATAAGTGTATTTTGAGATATATGTGTATATATCTCAAAGCACACTTACAATGAAATCATATAAATGCATTATGTATGTATAATATATTATAAAATGCTTTAATTATTTTATAATATATTATAAATATATAATACAGACACTCCTCACTTACCGACCGGGTTCCGTTCCTACGACCCGGTCGTAGAATGAATCGGTCGTTAAGTGAGGACTTAAGGGATTCCCTGCTCTGGTGCATAAGTGTCTATGTTCTGGGAAGTTTCCGTCGTAAAACAGGTAGGTCGCTAAATGAGGACCACCTCTATATGTATAATATATTTATTTATTTTGTTTTTAACTTTTTAGTAGCCTGGGGGACTGCCTGACAGCTCAGACAGTCCCCCTACTGCCAGCTCCTAGAGTCCTATTGTGGTGACGTGATCATGGTTATCACATGGCCCTTGAGAGCCAGAGCTTCTGCAGGGGGACCTCCAGTCCAGGGCTCCTATTTGCCATGGACGTACTAGGTAGACCGTTTTTTGTCGGACGCACCTAGTACATCCACGGTCGTTAAGGGGATATACATATCATTTCATTCTAAGTGTATTTTGAGAGAATATATATATATATATTCATTCTAATTTTGTAAAAATTATTTTTAGTAATATAATATATATATATACTAAAAATAATTTTTACAAAATTAGAACACACACACACGCACACACACACACACATATACATACATACACACACACACACGTGTGTCATTTTACTCTAAGTGTATTTTTATATTATATATGTATATATTAATAAAAATACACTTCGTATGACATCTCATATATACATATATATTTGTTAATTTATAAAAACTTTATTCATTTTTTACTTTTTCACCAGCAGGGAGACTGCCAGCACTGTGGACACCTATTGCGGCCATGTGACCGCTGTTTTAGAGCAGTCACATGGCCACTGGGGGTCCTAAATTGGAGATGGGGACTGTCTAGGCTGAGCCAAGACAGTCCCCCTCAGAAGAAGACCGATCGCTGGCTGGGGAATGGCGGCGATCGGTAAGTACATGTGGAGGGAGGGATGGTAGGGGTTAATTTTTTTTAAATATAAGATAAAAAAAGGTGCACTATACCTTTAAAATTCTAAAGGTATATAGGAACGCAATACATGAAAGGAAAAGGGAAAAAATATAGTATAATACGGCTATATTTTTTCCCTTTTCCTTTCATGTATTACGTTCCTATATATCTTTGGAAGAAATAGTGAGACATCCCTATTTCCTTAGTAAGTTGTTTTAGTACATTTTAACACAGAACACACTTGTGAATTTGCACATTTATATAATATCATTGTATTGGATATTTTTGACATAATAATGTACAGTGCACTAACACTTTCTTTCACTTTGCTGCACTTTAGAATTCTAAAATGTATAGTGCACCTTTTTTATCTTATATTTGATTAAGTGGGTGTTTTTAGAGCTGTTTCACTGGTAAGGTGCTGCTTTACCTTTTTCATGTATATATTGTGCAATATTGTGAATTATTAGCGCCTTTTTGCTTGATTTTTTTTTGTTTGTTAATTTTTTTAAATGTTTTATTTTTTATTTTAACTGAGTGCCTTGACCCCTCAAATCACTCAGTACAGGCAGAGCATGGGAAGCTTGCCTGAAGGCTTCCGATGCTCTTGCCTACACTGCCGGGCGCCACGTGCGGCAACTCGGAAGTGATCGCACCGGGGGGTTGATCACTCGAGTGTCTGGCAGTGAGGGGGGTATTTCATGATGCCTCGACATCGAGGCATCGTCTAATACCCATAGAGCGGCTGGAAGTGATCATGATCGATTCCAGCGCTCAAATTTACCGCAGACATATGAGGTATGTCCACGTCCTCAAGGACCGTTTTTTTTTTGTCAGACGTACCTCATACGTCCACAGTCCTTAAGGGGTTAATGATATAAGAATATGAAATTGGATCCTCCACAGTGGATAATATCTACATGAGAATCTTCTGGTTAATTACTTGGATATTGGAATCCCATTTACAGGTAGAGATCACTTTGTGGATTTATGACTGATAATATTTATGTATTATATGCATCTGAAGGTTGCTCCTATTAATTTTACTTAACAGGTTTATGAGATTATGGGTATATTGTTTGTCTTAATTCATTCAAATAGGTCATAATTGATTTTTTACCAACAGACAGGACTGTTTTGTACTATGCTTTGGTACACTGAACATTATTAGTGCCAAAATCCTTCTGTTAGCTGTAATTTAACCATTTTTTTTTTTAATCTTTTTTTTTTTAAAGTTTCTGTAAAAGCTGCAAAAAGTATAAAATGCTAAATCTTTTACATTTTTGTTTAAAGGAAACACACTGAATAAGTCTTCATTTACACAAATATATGATCTAGGTCAGTGGTAGGCAAGCTTTGGCACTCCAGATGTTGTGGCGTACATCTTCCTTGATGCTTTGCAAGCATTGTGGCTTTAGGAGCATTATGGTGGTAGATGTAATCCACAAGATTTGGAGTGCCGAGGGTCGCCTACCCCTGATGTAGATCAAGTGGTAAGTTACAATATTTAATCACTCACAATAATTAGTGAAGTTCTAGCTAGCATAAGACAATTAGTTACTTACATTTTACATAGGCATTCAGGTTTCCCCCAAAAATACTAAAGTTCACAATGAAAATAATCTAAACCAGAAGTGTCCAATAGGTAGATACCCAGATGTTTTAAAACTACAGCTTCCATGATGCTTTGTCATTCTAAAGGCATGTAAAGCATTGTTGGAGTTGGAGTTTTACAACATGTGATAGACAACTTTCTAGAGAGAGAGAAGGATACTTACGAAACACGTTTAGTCAAACAATTCCAATGCTCAGGTATGTTGAATCATTCATGTCCTTTATTGACAGGATTAATGAATAGATACCAGGGTACTGAACCTGGTAAATTCTTTAAAGAGAATATGTTGTTCCACAGCTGACAGAAAAGCCTCCCATATGCACACAATAACTCAAAAATGGAAACATGGGTGGGCTACAGAATATACCAAAAATAAACCACAAAACTGTAGGGAAGCATAGCAGAGTGAGGAAGGTACCATTAATATGAATTATTTTCCTATTTTCTAATGACATAGAATAACCTCCTGAGCAAACCACCAGTGTGTTCCAGTGTGACTAGTTTAATGCGCATTTGTAATTTGCTGGCTTGCACTATGCATGCTGTAATCTTTTAGCTCTGATTTGTTTGTCCCGTTCCTCCCGCATCTAGGTTTTAAATAGCCTTCAATAAGTCCACAATACCAAGAAACTCTCTGAAATTCCCTCAGACAATAGTTGGTATGGGAGAAAAAAAAAAATTAAACTGTGCAAATATTTATGAGAAATATAGAGATGACCAATTTTCTGTGAGGTTCTCATCACCTATAGGAAGTTAAAATTGGATCAAGGAAAGCCAATGGAAATTGAATATGTTCCATTTATGCATGGGACTTTTTTCCATTTTCCATGTTGCATTATTAAAGAACCATGTGTATGATCCAATTACCATATATACTCACTGAAAACTTTAACGACTGTTGGTTCTTCAAATACATTCTCTTCTGTTACGAGCATGCACACAAATCTCTTCTCATCACTGATTTTTGCATCCGAGATGAACAATGTATAGTTCTCAGACAAATTCAGACGGCCGTTGTATTCGGGCACATCTTCATAGCTGGTCTTGTTTTTTACAGCTGACCGGGCAGCTACAAATACTGGAGTTCCATCTGCTTTTTCCTAACATAAAACAAATTTTAAAAAAAAATTAACAGAGTTCTAATTTTAATATAATTACATATGGCTGTCTACCAAACACCTATCATATAATAATCATATTCAGTTTAATATTTAAGCAAGTTGAATCAGATCAAGGTAACCAGTTTCAAAGGATCTAAAAAATATTCATTGCCTTTTTGTCCATCACATTTTGCAAGTGCTTACATCTCAAGGTTTCTTCAATATTTAATCCTGCTAGTTGTCCACCCCAAGTGATACAAGTAAAAGCCGAGACCCCAGCAGGTATAACAAGGCCATCAGACTTGGCAGGTTAATGCCATTAAATAATTGCTATGTTGCGTCACATGAGTGTCATTAGAAAATGTCACGTTGGTTTGCTAAAATTGTACGAATAGGAATCATGAGTGTTGTATTTCAACAGGCTACACACTCTCTATGGTTGCCAAAAAAAAAAAAGTTT